CATAATTTTTTTAACCTTTTATTTGTACCCATAATTTATTTATAATGTGCCCATTTTTCTTTACAAATGTACCACTTTATTATATGCAAAATGTATCCTTTTTATTTTTTGTAAGCACCATTTTTTTATGTAAAATGTACCCTTTTTTAATGTAAAATCTATTTATTTTTTTAATCTAAAATGTACTAAACAATCAAATGTACCCATTTTTTGGTATATAAAATGTGCCCCTTTTATGTATAAAATGTATACTAATTTTTTATAGAGAGTTTTAACAAAACACTCCTGGTACTGTTCACTTTTAACGAAAAACCACATTTTTACCTTTTCTTGGTACTATTCACTACACCTTTATTTGTCATTTTTCATTAAAACTAAAGTTTTTTTGGACTTTTCGTTAGTTTTCCTTTTTTTTATATGTAAAATGTAGCCATTTTTTTTTTTATATCAATGTACTCATATTTAATAAAAATAAAATAAAATCCCTTTTTTTATATAATCTAGAATGCATCCATAATCAATTATTATTCTTTTTAATCAAAACCCATAAGCAATTTTGAATAATTGAATTGGCACGGTAAATGAAAGCAAGAAAACGATTGAGTTTTATTGCTATTATTGTATCTCTTTTATTATTATGTCATTTATGTGGTAGGAGAGAGACTTCAATCAAAAACTTAAAATACATAAGGTTTGAGTTTATAACAGTTAGGGATCAGGGATCAGAGACTTTAATCAATTTCAGGGGACGATCTCTTCCAGTATAAAAGAGTGGACTGGGAAATAAACGATCTCTTCCAACCATTATAACTGTATATAATTCTAACCAAAATTTGACATGAAAATAGCCCTTTTCTAACTAAAATAATTATATCTTATCCATTGTGCAATCTTTCTCCTCCGATCATTTATGTTAGCCCTCTTCTCTAAGAGCTCTTTTCACTTTTTCTTCTCTAAGCACAATGTGCACCCAGCTACCGTAAGCACCACAACAATGAAACCAGTGGTGGAGCCAAAATTTCATGTGTAGCAGGGCCTCTCACATACATAGGTAATTTGAACTTAGAACGGGAGAGATTGGAGCAGTTTACATAAAAATTGAAAGACCCTAAATTCAATATAAAGAACCAAAAACATTGCACAAATCCATAAATCTGAATATGAGGTAAGGAGTTTTCAAGAAATTTTTAAAGTATAAGTTAAAGCCAAAGAAAAGTTGAGAGAATAAGGGCTAGTTTGGTATTGTTATGTTTAAAAAAAAAAAACTGCTTTTGCTGTTCTGTGAGAATAAACAGCTGTAAAATAAAGTTGTTGAGTGTTTGGTAAACTTTTTTTTGCAAAAGTTCTTTTATAAAAAAAAAGTGTCTGAGTGTTTGTTAAACTTTTATATAAATTTCTAATAATATGTTAAATGACTAAAAAAGATATGTATTTAATGTGATATGATAATTGTCAAAGAAAATAATGTAGAAGCAAATATTGTAATTTTGTAAAATATGTGGGGATATACTTGCCATTTGAATATTTCATTAAATGGACACTGATTACTATGCTTTTAAAAAAGAAGCACTTTTTTAGAAGCATTGTAGACTTTGCTTTTGCTTTTCTATGCTTTTTCTACTATCATTGGCAACAACTTTTTTAAAAAGAACTTTTTTTTTTCTTTTACCAAACACCTTTGATGTTCCAGATTTTTTAATAAGTTGTTTTTTTCTTTAAAGCACCACAATTCCAAACCAACCCTAAGGAGGGGAAGTGAAGACTATACTGCAATAAGAGGGGTGGCGATAAAAATAAGGCATAGCCTGAAACGGAAAAGAGTTTGGATTGATAACATATTTGAATTTTAAAGGTATTAGACTGATGTGCAGCATCAACATATGTTATTAGTAGAAAGAAAAGAAAAAAAAAAAGAGAAGAGGATGGACCAAGGATCATTCTAGTCCTTTAGGTCATCTCCAATGGAGATGGCTATAGGGCTTATAGGCCAAAATCCAGCCCGAAATGCTTCGAAACCCAACTCCAATTGAGGGTTGGGCCAAAAAAAGGAGGGCTAGGGCAAGTTTTAGCCCTTTGGCCATTAGGTTGGCCATTCTTAGCCAGCCAGGTAGTCCATTTAAAGGGTTTTTTTTTTTAAGGCCGAAATTAAAAAAATATATTAAAACTTCTAATTTTTTATTTCCTATAAATACTTAATTCATTTCTACATCATTTCTCATATCCTTTTTTTTTCTTTTTTTTCTTTTTTTGCTAGGCTCACATCCTTTTCATAAACACCACTCTCTTACCTTTTCCAATAATCTAAATTTAAAATTTTCAATATTTTTTCAAATGGCCACATCTTCAACCAAAGGATGAGAAATCTGGAGGCTTATTAATTGAACAAGTGGCACTCAAAATATGTTCGGAAACCTTATTTTAATATGGTAATTTAATTCAATTAAATAATAAAATTAAAGAACAAACTTAAAATAATAAAGGAGGGGACTAAATAATAGTCCATTCAGTTGGAGATGGTTTATAAATATGGTATGCCACTGTTTATTAAAAAATAATTTCTTGCAGGGTTATAATCTAGACAGAGACTAAACATAGCCTCTTCGGTTGGTCTCCAACCGGACTGACTATAAGGCCATAGGCCAAAGGATAGCCTTTTATGGCACAAAACTCATTTCCAATGGAGGTTTGGGCCAAAAACTCTTGGGACCCACAAGACCAAAATCCAACCATATGACCAGAGGGTTGACCATCTTTAGCCAGCCCCTTCATTTGGGCCTAGTTGGAATTTTTATTTTTTTCAAAGACAAAATAAAAAAAAATAAAAAATTATAATTTTTTTTCCTATAAATACCTAAGACATTTCTACACAATTTCTCACATCATTTTCATCCTTCCATACTATCTTGCATCATTTTATTTCAATTTTTCACATTCTATCCACCTCAAACACTTTTTCCATACACAACCCTCTCTTACATTTTCCAATAATCTTTTCTTTAATTTTTTTCAATAATTTGGCCACATCTTCAAGTGGCACTCAAAATATGTCTGGAGGCTTATTCATTTAACAATAACACTCAAAATATGTCCGAAAATCTTATTTTAATATGGTAGTTTAATTCAATTAACCAATAAAATTAAATAAAATAATAAATTATTGAGGGGGGCTAAAAAATAGCCATCTTTAGTTGGAAATAGTATATAAATATGGCTCAGCACTGTTCATTAAAAAATAATTTCTTGCAGGGCTATGATCTGGACGGATGCTAAATATAGTCCCTTCGGTTGGAGATGGCCTTAGTGGCTTCGCCACTGAATGAAACATGATACCTATGCAACCTTTGTTTTACATATAAACAAGGCATGGGGAGGGGAGGACCACGTTCTCGATGTAAGGCGTGGGGAGGACTCTAAAAGCATTTCAAACAGTTCCTAATAGGTTCCGCATTAATGGCTTCAGTAAAACCAATAAGGTTAAAAAGAGATGAAAACTTCAAACCTCCGTAGTTCCTCAGACCCCTAAATATGCAGAGTTATACAGACCCAAGGTCATACCATCCGTGTACTTTTACAAGTTATAACGTCAAAACATTGACAGTCAAATATGGTATCTCTCTCACACACAAAGACGGTCACATTTACTATTGGTGGAAGAGAGAGAAAAAGGGAGGGGGGGGGTATCTAAAAGCTAAATACGGTATCAAATGACGGTCACATTTATTATTCGATGAATCATGGTACAACAAAACAGAGCAGGGAAAGGGAGGGAGAGTAAAAGGTGTTTTCAGGAAAGCACCAAATTGCTCCCACAAAATTATAGATTAACACCAATGTTAGCACCTAGTGAATTTCTAATTGCTACAACTGAACCCGTGGCAAAGCTAATATCTTTAACCACAAAAACTCTTCCATCTAAACTGATACTCCCCATTTCAACCTCGCAAATATTCTATTATAGGGATCCAGAAGATCAGAAATAAGCAGAGCCACTAACTTAAGCCTTCAGCACAGCCCTCATATACATATTATATGCAAATGCTTACTTATTTCTGAAATCTGTTATTTATTTAATTATATTTAGTAAAGACAAAATTTAATCCAATGAACAATAAAATTTCACAAGCACTGGACAAGATGGCAACAACTAGGAATGCAAAAGCATAAGAAAAACATGGAAGCAAGTGTTCTCAAACACTAAGATGTAAAACACAGAAGACAACACGATACGTAGTATATAGCAAGATCAACCCCTTAATTCTGGAGAGATTGAGGCCCAAATGATGACCAAGATAAAAAAAATTCCCATAAAATCTATACCCCACCATCTGCAAGATCTTCAAAAAATCATAGCCAAACTGCCCAAATAATTAGCCAATAGTATGCACCCCCTTAAAACCCTGGTCTTCTCCCCCCTCCCTGGTAATTTATGTTTCTCAGGTAAAAAGGAGAAAACGTACTCCAAAGTCCAAACTCCCTGAACAATGATGGCCAAAGACTCAAAAACCACAGGACAATGTAAAAAACCATAATCCACAAACTCCAAGTCACTCTTGCATAGGATGCACCACTGAGGATAGAGGCAGCGGTTAGGTCTCCTACTTACCAAGTAGCAAACTTCACTTTGGAAGGAATTCAGATTTTCAAGATTAGAACTATATGAATACAACTTGCATCTATTCATCAACAACAGATTGCCTGTACAGCCAATTTTCTATACCCATACTACTCATACCATGTGCTCTAGATATTGATCCGTCTTCAGCTCTACATCTAAAATATTCCTTGTTCTGTATAACTTCAAAAAAAGGACTATGGACATAACCAATTTTTACATACAGACCATTAATTTACCAATTTTCTTATTCATCATTTTGTTAGGCAAAATGAGTGTGGTGGGAGAGGGTGGTAACAACCCACTCCTGTCCCAACAGGTGAGACGTATGTTGGACGTACAAGTCAACACTGTCCAAATCCACAATCAGAAGTGGCACACCAATAAGTTACATGCCAAGAATCTCTACAAAAATCGTGCTCCTTACAACTTATTGTATAAATCAACATGAAACTCAAAACATCATATTGGGGTTCAGACAAGGTTGTAGTTCAAACAAGGACACCTCAAAGTTATTTGTCTTTCAGGATTTAAAGTACACACACTAGACGGTTATGAATTGTTATGACTCATTTGGAGGTTTGTAAATAAAGCAATATAATAATCATTTACATCAAGCAAATAATGGGAGGAAATGTAAGTTTGATTCGAACCTCCCGCAGCAGGTCTATAACACGCTTCATCTGAGCTCCAACAGGGGCTTTCCGTATGGTATTAATATGTTGAAGCCTCTCAGTATCATTTGAAAATTTGACAGCTGGAGCAGGAGCTTTAGTGACCGCAGGCGCAGGTCTCAGCGTTGCTGTGGCCCTATCAGATGCAATGCCGATAAGAAGTGACTGCGCACTTTCTTGCTGCTTCTTGAACATATTTAAACTCTCTTTCAACGCCATCTGCAACTCACAAAGTTTACTGAGAACTCATCATATCTGTTAAAACAGTACAGAAAGATGTACTAACCAAACAACGCAGCTTATACAAGAACATCAAACTGGAAACTACAAGAATCTATGCAAATGGTGGAGTGCCCTCGAAAGGGCCTCTTCCTCAACCCACCGTATGGCGGTTCAAACCCTCACCCTCCCCGTAGTTTAGATTAGATTATCCGATTGATTGCCAAAAAATTCATAACCTTTCAATCTCTAAGAGTAGAACAGTAATTGCAAATTATTTTTATTAATTTGCCATGTTCATCTTTTTCTTTTTCCATTGCAAATGATTCGATTTGCAATGAAGTAATTTGAGGTCGCGGTTGTACTCTTAGAGATTGAAAGATTATGAATTTCTTGACAATCAGAAGGGTTTGAACCCACCATTTGCAATAGCTTCTTGTAGTTTCCAGTTTGATATTCTTGTATAAAAATTATGGTCACGTTCACAACAAACCAACAAAAAAATATTGAAAGCGAAGACCAAAACGAAAACAAACTGATTAAAAACTTCCCAACTAGTACCTCCAATTAGAGGCCTTGGAGGATGGAGGTAGAGGGCTGCTGGCGAGTATGGACTCTCGGCGGGCCGGGAACATTCTTAGCGGAGAGAGGGATCAGAAGACGCAAGAGGATTGAGGAGAGTGAGAGACATGAGTTGTCGTGGTGGACGGGACGGAACTGAGAAAAAAGAGAAGAAAGAAGAGGAAGAAACAAAGAAAGAAGAGGGAGAGAGAAGGAAAATGCGATTGAGGAGATTGAAAAGAAGAAATAAGAGGTAGAAAGGAATTGGGTTTGAAGTTTGCCAGCACATTGGGCCTTGGAATTGAAATTGGGTTTAGAAAATAAAATCTAATGTAAATAAATAAAATTAATATACGATTAATTAGGTTTAGTTCGGTTTGATTTTTGAATTACTGAAATCGAAACCGAAATCGAACTAAAATAATTCAGTTCTGTTTGAATTTTATAACTCTGGTTTGTTTTTGTTTTCGATTTGGCTTTTTTGGTTTTGATGAACGATTTAGTTTTTTTAGTTTGTCAAACCCATCCCTGGGCAGAACAAAGTTACAATTTTCTTCTACGCAATGCAACAAGGGCATGAATACAGACTTATTTATTGTTTACAAATATAATTGTGAAATAAAGCCAAGTTCAAGTAACCTATTTGGCACATTTTCACCGTTAGATGAGAATCCTACAGCTAATATTAGTTTTGCCTTTAATATTTCAAACACCAAATCAATAAATTGCTCATACGGCTAGAGGGGAAAAGGAGAAGACAGCATCGCTCAAGCATGACCCGTGAAACTAGATTACAAAATATAACATCGATTTGCAACTATGCACAATTACATATCTCATATGGAAGAGGGAATATGGGATTGAATGGCGGTGGAGCAAATGAATTGGCATCTAGGTGCAACAACAGCCACAGTGACGGCGGCAGTTCGAAGGTTCTGTCACTATTCCAAAAGCCAGCCATTTTGCTCGGTCTTATCCGAAAACAACCGAATAGCTGCCATATTTTCACACAAAACTGCCTACTTTGCAATTTTCATTATTTGGCCAATATACTAGTTGTTAGGAGACTTTTAGGTCAAGGCGGACTTTGCTAACTTCCTCGTCTCCCTTGGTTTAGTTTCATACCAAGTCTCGGAATATCTTGAAAGAGTTAGCTCATTTCAGGAAATATTCTGGTTAGATCAATAACTCAAAGATTAGCATGATTAACCAATTAATGGCTTGCTCAAGTGAGACATGGTGTGCAAGCTAGAAGTTCATCAGTTTACCATGAAAGAGAAAGAGCTTGAGTGGTTGTAAGGTGTTCTATGTTGGATAATCTGGGCTTCCTAGGGTGGTAGCAAGGTTTTCGATGGTTGGAATACTTAGAAGAAGGTTATGGAAAATACTATGGTTGTAAAGTGATGCCTTCAAGGTTTCTTTTGCTCTTTGTCATATTTGGCTCCTAAAGCTCTTAATCCATATTTGTAGTTGAATGATTCCTTCCTAAGGAATCTCTAATTATGGCTTGGTTCATTCTCCCTAATTCTTCTTATACCCTCCATTTCGGTGCAAAATTGCTAACCGCTGCCACCCTATGAACTTGCATCATGCCTTCTTCTCGAGGTGTTGCCTTCCCGGGTTAGCCTTTCATAGGCGTTACTTTTGGTAGAGTGCCTCATGGCTTTCGTTTGCAAAGTCCAGCCTCTCTTCATTAAATGCATGTTTTGCTAGGCTTTCACGTGAGCTTAGAGCTAGGATTTGGTTCCTATCTAATTGGATTAGTTAGCTTGCTAAGAAAGAGGTAAACTAAGTATGTTCTCTCTCAATGCTTGCCTATGTGGACCATAAGGGTTATGGGTCTGGATCTTTGGGCCTCCAAGTAGCCCAAAGTCTTCCATCATCTTGACTCCACATAGGCCCTATAAGTTTTCGTAACCATCCACACCACAATTCACTTGTCAAGCCCCGAGCATGTGACTTGGGCTCATTTTAGCATGATGAATAGGCATGGGCATGACGTGTTATATATTCATTCCTCGATCCCACACCTTTGCATGTATTTTTGCTTGAGTTGAGGTTGTGTGATAATTGGGCATCGAGACTTGGTTGGGCTCGCATATGACAGTTTTAGGCCTCAACACTAGTTTGTTGCCAATCACCAAGTCACTCAATCTTAACCGCATTATCAAATTGACGGTCAGAAAGAAGTTTGTATTCATACCCTGGTTGCAGCTGAATAAAAATCGACAAAATTATTGACTGCAAGGGTAAGGATGTTAACTTTGGCGCAAAGAAAAAAAAACACATTATTCTAAAAACTTGCGTTATCTAAGTTGAAAGAACTTAAGTAGAAAAGTCATACAGAAAGCTAATACTAGATTTAACGTGAACCTAAGTAGGGAAGAGACTTTGGATAAGGTTCTTAGTCATCAATATTGTTTGACTGAAACCTTATAGATTTTTCAGTTTTTATTTTATTTTATTTATTTTTTTATCAAAGTACATGACTTTTAATATTAATGTATTTTTATGTCAGTTCTTTTATTTTTGAACTTAATTATAGAAATTGTACTTCTTTATAATTATGAGAATTTAAATAATATACATGATTTGTAGGAGTGAAGATATTATAAGATGAATTATATTTTCCACTCCTCAAAAGAAAACATCAAGTCAATTCTGAATCATGTTTTACAATATAAAAATATGTACATATAGAAATAGAAAAACATATTGTATACACACACACACACACACATACAATGGGTACATTCATCAAATCAACTAAAAAATTAAGCTATATATATAAAAGGAAAAGGCAAAATGGGTGAAGTTTTCATAATACCCAAATTAAATAATAAGAGACTACCCAGACATATCCCTTCTTGAATATAATATAACAACAAAATATTATAATAGTAATGAACATAACCAGGATAAATATTCAAAATTGAAGGTAGAGCAGTGCCTGAATATGATGCAATGGCTAAAACCCATAAGTACATTGTCATCTAAGCTTTCATATTGCATGTCTAATAATATATACACCTTTATGTGGCAGCAACCTTGTTATGCAGCCCACATATTCAAAGATTGATAAAACAGTTTCAACTAAAAGTAGCTTAACCAATCATTACTTAAAGAGAATAGAAGAATGATGTCATTTTATAGAGTACCATATATGATTCTATGTGCGGTAAAATTTTAACAGAAAATGTAACTATCAATGGCCTCTTGACATCTGCCAAATGAAAGCCCACTAGAAGAGGATCATTTTCATTTCTTGGATTGAGGTCCAATCCTGGCAAGATCGACTGAAAAATTGAATTATTAGACAATGATGGCTTTCTTCATCATTTCAGCTCTACTTTGTGTGATGCTGATTGAGAAAAATAAAGGTTACACGTGTTGGGCTCAGCGAGATGATAAATTTGTTGAAAACAATGAACGAATGAAGGAGATATGAAGATTTTTGGATAGTAGTTGAAAAGGGGGAGATAATAAGAACAACTCCTCTGCTCTTCATTCAGTGTGCAGTGAAGAAGAAAAAGGCATGTTGACTTCAAGAATAATCCCTTTCGGAATTTACCATATTGCTCATCAACAAAAAAAATATGTAACTTCTTCGTTTAAATTCCGATTGACACCCCATTTGTGCTAATGCATTTATGATGACTAGTACTTTAAGAGTATCCTAAAATAATAATTTGTAAGTGGCACGAGACAAAGGTCAATTCGCAATATATTCTCCCTGTGTAACTGGTGAGAGTACAGAAGAAAAATGAGGCATAATTAGAGCAAGAGTTTGGTGGTTGTTTTCTAATCTCAAATTGGTTCTCACTTTAGGAGAACTAGTCCCTGAACCAATGGGCTATGCCCATTGGCAAATGAAATATAACCACAGATTGTACCTGTGATAGATTGAGATCTAACGCCACGTGCTATGACTGTTGTCGATTTCTAATTGACCACAGTTAAAGCCCATTATAAATTATTTTCCAGAATTAAAAAAAACTATTTAACAAATATATATCTATATTTATATATTTTAGTACAGAATAACCAACAAAATTCCATATTTACTACAATATAATAACTACATAAAAAATCACAAATTCAAATATTACAAGTAGTACATTGTTGGCCCTCTTCCCTTTCTCTTTTTTGCTTCATTGACATCATCACTTGAGTGCATCTCGTCACCATCTGGCAAACCATCAAAATCCATAGACACCTAAAATTGGAACCAAATTCGTAGAGAGATTAACAAAAGAATGTTTTGTGTCCTAGAAGAAAAAACGAATTTAGAGAGAGATTTCGCGGAGTAACCATATGTAACTAAAGACCACTCAATTCATACCAAATTTATAGAGAAGCAAATAACCCTGTTTACAAATGGATTCCAAAATGTCATAACTCTTTGAGATTTTATCAAACACTTGGTGGTCATACTATACTTGCCCCAAATTACTGGCAGCAAATTTGATAACCACTTTAGGTTCTCTCTCCCTCCTGCAAGAAAATGATGATTATATGGGTACGAAGGTTGTCGACAGAAATTATGTGCAAACAAAGTTTGAGAACAGAGTATACAAGTTGCACATAGGCCATGGTGTATCCAGGGAGAGTTCCAATCCATATTGTGGTCATATTTTTCAACCATTCTTCACAAGTTACATGCAATATCACATAGAACATATACATGGAACAAGCTTTGGGATCTTTACCTTACAGAAGAATATTGATAAAGGTGGAATTGGGCTCGGGTATGCACACTACAAGAATGTTGATAAAGTGAGATTAAGATGTAAATATCATAGTAAAAAAACTTATACCGACAACATCTTGATGTAAAAATACAAACAAGAGAATTACCCTTATAAAAAACCATGACCAACCTACAAATAACATAACCATCTATGATGGGGGAAATCATTATGCTTGCCTAAGAGACAATTTTCAATTATTTCAAATGCAGAGCACTTAAAAAGAATTATGGTTCAAATTTCACAAAAATTCAAAGCCGAATCAAACAACTTTCCTTTTCAATAAATGGTATCAACAACTCAAATTTTTTACCTTCAATCACCATGAAAACCAATAAACCCAGAAAAAAAATACCAACCTGCAAGTTCATAACAAACAAAAAACTAAAATACAAAGACCAAATAAAACAACTTAATAAAGCCTTCATATGTGCAAATAAATCATTTGAATAATCCCAAACGATTACCCGAAATAAAATAGCCAGGGACAAATACATATAAT